GGGCGCGTGGCGCGGAGGCGAGCGGAGTATCTAGGTCATGCCGGAGGGTGCGGTGCAGCAGGTCGGAGGGGGCTGCCGCGGGGGCTGCGTCCCCCACCCCGCAGGAGTTGCCAGCGCGTGCCGCAGGCGGGAGAGCCGGGCACAGCTCTGCAGCTCCTGCAGGAGTGCAGACTCTAACAGCTGTCCTCGGGGCAGGTGGGGGGTTATCGGATCCTGTTGCTGCTCTTCGCTGCCCTTGGGCCGCTCTGCAGCATGGAGCTCTCTGCGGAGCCCGAAGGAAGTGAAGAACGATGTCTTGGCTGAGGAAACAGTCTGGGAGGGGATGTGCACAGCCCAGGAGCAGTGTGAGGAAGAGAAAAATCCCCTGAAGGAATGACATGGAGAGCAGGCCACTGACTGCACCCCACAGGCCGCACTCAGTGGACCACGGATGCTTTTGCTGGAGGCAGGGGGGCAGATGGCCAGCAGAGCATCCCATTGCACGAGGTGTTCAGCACAGAGGCACCACGGGTGCAAGCCCTGGCTTCCTGGCACTGCCAAGGACAGTAGAGCAGAGCTTGCTCCCTCCCCAGGTGCCTTCAGCCAGTGCCTGTGCCAGAGCTAGGTTCTCCCACTGCCTCCTGGTGTACCCCTGCTCCTGCCTGGACTTGCTTATGCCTGGTGGGCACCAGCTGCCTGTATCTTCCAGCAGCCCCAGGGGCTGTGCTCGGTGCCAGGTCTGGCACGGATGTCTCTGTGCTGGTTGTGCTGGAGCTACCACCTGGGGACAGCAGCGTCTTGGGAGCTGCCGGTGCTGTAAGTCGGACAGCAGCGTGGATCTTGCCCACTGATCCTCGCATTTGCAGCTGCAGTGAGGCTGTTCCCTGCTGGAGAACGTGATCGCAGTGGGAAGCCTGGGCTGACACATGCCTGTCAGCAGGTCCAGTCCCTCTTGTACCCAGGGGGCACAGGGCAGCTCCGCTCCGAGCACGCTGCCAGTGTGATAAAAACCCCTTGGAGAGGGACAGGCACCCACAAGTGCGTGTGTGTGTGCACACGTCCGTGCTCGTGGAGCTGCACAGATGCTGCCAGATACGCACACATGCACGCTGGCACGCACGCACAGTGACAGGCTCCCTGCATCCACCCAGACCTCTGGCAACACCCACTCCCCTTGCCCATGCCATGCAGGACAGCTGAGCCAGTGCCCCTGCCCCGGTCTATGTGGCATGGCCACCCAGAGCTTGGGGTCAGCTGGAGGAAATGTCCATCCCAAGGAAGCTGTATTCAGCCCATTGCTGGAGCCCTCCTCGTCCCGGGGGTTTGGAGGACACTGCTGTCTTCCTCCCTCCCTTCCCTCCATTGCTCAGTGATGCTCCTGCACAGCTGGGGAGAGCCGATGCCCAGGGCCCTGCTAACCTCTCCCGTGTGTGTCCAGAGAGCCAGCCCACGACGTCAGACGAGACTGTGGTGACCGGTGGTACAGTGGTGCTCAAGTGCCAGGTGGAGGATCCCGATGACTCCTCGCTGCAGTGGTCCAACCCTGCCCAGCAGACCCTCTACTTTGGGGAGAAACGAGGTACATGTGCAGGAACCGGGGGTGGGAGAGGGCTGCCTCGGGGAGAGAAGCCAGCTCCAGGACTGGAGCGATGGCAAGGCAAAGTGGGCTGGTGGTGCCCCAGCGGGTGACGTTCCCACTTCCCACCTACAGTGGTGCCACTGGGCAAAACATGAGCTAGCGGAGGAGTGTGTCACTCACCCTGTTGCCCCTTTTCCCCCAGCCCTGCGAGACAACAGGATCCAGCTGGAGAGATCCACACCCAACGAGCTGACTATCAGCATCAGTGATGTGGTGCTGTCGGATGAGGGGGAATACACCTGCTCCATCTTCACCATGCCCGTGCGGACTGCCAAGGCCCTGGTCACCGTGCTGGGTAAGCCACTGGTGGCAGGTGATCTCCTGCCTGCTGCTGCCCTGCCTGCGAGATGCTGTCCGTACAGCCGTTCAAATCTGCTGCTCCCGTATCCCTACCCGTTCACTCATCCTTGCTGTGTTTATCGCCGTGTCTCTGCACATACGTCCGTCTCTGGGTGGCAGCACATGCACAGCTAACGGGCTGTTGTGTTGTTTGCTGCCTTCTCTACCAGGAGTCCCCCAGAAACCCCAAATCTTCGGCCATGAGCAGCCCATTGATGAGGAGAAGATAGCCCGGCTGACCTGCCGGTCCTCTGGCAGCAAGCCTGCGGCCCAGCTCCGCTGGAAGAAGGGCAACAAGGAACTGAAAGGTGGGTGCCCACGCAGGGGGGCTCTGCCCCGAGGGACCAGGGGTTGCAGATGTGCCCAGTGCTGGACCACACTGGCATCCTATGCTACTGCCAACAAAGGCGCAGGGACAGGGTGTCTCCTGCTCGATGTGCATGTCAGCCTCATGCCTCTGCTGCAGCACCATGTCTATCAGCTCTAATGGTCTCCTGTCCCCACAGACGAGGGCACCGAGGTGGTGGAGGACCCGAACGGAAAGACCTTCACCGTGAGCAGTCGGGTGGAGTTCCGCGTCACCAAGGAGGACAACGAAGCCGAAGTGACCTGTACTGTGGACCATGAGTCCCTGCAGAACTCCGAGAGATCGACCACACAGAAGCTGCAGGTCCACTGTACGTGGCGCATGGGGATGACAGGACAGGGCTGTGGAGGGGTGGGAGAGATGGAGGAGGTTTCAGCAGAGATCACACACATGGATCCACGTTTACATGTACACGCAGCTGTCACGCGTACGTGCGTACAGGCTCATCGATCTGCACGCGCAGTGGGCTGTCACAGGCGGGGGCACTGCCCCTGACAT